AAGTTGTCCGGCTAAGCAAAAAATCTTGCTTTTTCATATGGGTCCATGGTATTGCTACTTCTGTGGCAAATGGAACGCATCCGACTCAGTTTTCCCGAGTTTTTAGCGAATGTGATGTAATCTCAGAATTTGAAAATCGAATCCTGAGGCAAATGGAATGCAGCACAAGTTTTCACTGCAACTCCCTAATTATGTCACCAATTCCCACATAGCAGACAGGTCTGGCCCAGATCTGGCGTCAAGCCGGCACTGCTGGCTGAGTTCTGGCATGGCAAGTGGTATGTCAACCAGATATGGGCCAAGTCTGGCAATGATGGCACTGTTTACATTATGGCATGCCAGATGTGGCCCGATTGTGGTTTGGTCTATGTGGCCCAGGCACATAGAAGACAGGTCTGGCCCAGATCTGGTATCAAGCCGGCACTGCTGCCCAGTTAGCAAGCACATGTGGGCCAATTCTGGCTGAGTTGTGGCACATTCAGTTCACTGTCAGCAACCGCACAGTATTAGTGTGGCAAAAGATTGTGGGCCGATTGTGGGCCGAGCACGGCAAGCGATTCTGGCTGCCTGTCGGCATTTTTCATCTGGGCCAGAACTGTTCTGAGCACAGCGAGCGATTCTGGCTGACTGTCAGTATTTTTAATCTGGGCCAGAACCATTCTGAACACGGCGAGCGATTCTGGCTGACAGTCGGCATTTTGCGTTTCGGACGACTTTGGCTGACAGTCATTTCAGCATTGGTAACATGCTTTGTGCCGTACCTAGCCCTCACCTGCCGTAAAATTCTGGCCTAATGTCAGATAAATATTCTCAAAAAAATTTGAACCAAAACTAGTCTTAACATGGAAGATCATTCTGACTACAGTCTATATAGGAGGGGTCACCAACATGGCGCCCCCAAGGACCACATGAGTTGCCCACAGTGACTGTTCTAAAAATAGCACAACTCACCATTGAGCAGCGTCTAAAAATTAATTTTATCCTGTTGATATTCTTATTTAATCACATTTGCATTTATATAGATTTGAAAATGGCGATATCTAAAACAAAGCATTTAAAACATGTTTATTATTCATGATTTAAGAAGAGTGTATCAAACTGGTAGCCCTTCATAGGGCTCAGTACCCGTGAAGTAGCTACAGTACCAGTTTCAAAAAGGTGACCCCTGGTCTTAGTCTATATATGAGAGTACCAGGTTCTCATTTCACTATGTTGTATATGTAAATCTGCAAGATGTCACCTGGGTCTGTTCGAGCATTGGTAATGCTTTGTCCCATACCTGACCCTCATATGGCATAAAATTGTGGCTGAAGGCTCTGCTCTCAATTATATCATAACCACTGTCTGTTTGGGATAAAGCCTATACTAAAGAGCATGAGAAACACAATAAAGAGCCAATGGCTTACATGCAAAAAGACTCCAAGCACCAGCTGCTGACACAGTACAGTCCCACTGATATGACCATGTTTTTGTTTAACATTGGAAAACCATTAAAACTTATTGGATATTTTTTGTTAACTATATCGTCAATCATTATTTTTAATCTGATTTATGTTTACTTAAAAAAAGGAAAAGTAAAAACAAATGAAACCATTAGTTTATCTTCTCTAATATCTTGTCTTTTAAAAATATACATCCGTTTGTAATACTTTGTGTATAGGGCTTTTCTATTGACCGTTCGGTATTTGATCATCTACGCTGAACAACCAATCCTGAAATAGGTGGGCGTTAACGTTTCAATTAAGACCAATCAATGTCCTTTAGACGTCACTGCAACTTCACCGGACTTTGAGGCTGTTGACGGCATCGATCAATTTTAGATGGCTGATTCAGTTTGAATAATAATGAGCGAATTGTGGTAAGTGAAATATTTCAGTTACTTTTAAAGTTCCATTTAACCTTTTTAGTCAGGGATTTTAGCTTAAGATTCTGTCGGAACGGTATGTTGGGAATGATCGTTCATTTTAAAAAGCCGGTTCAAACAAGTCACACGCCTTGACATAACATTAAATACAGGGCTCTCGAGTTTAAATCAGATGTTTAACGTTAGATTACATCTGCAGAGCTCTCAAGTCTCACATATTGTGTGTGGGACACACGCATTTAACACAACAATCTCCCACGCCAAACGATATTTCTCTCTGAGAAGTGATAAAGCTCGCGCCACAGAAATTAATTGCTAATACAAACCTGCACCTTCTATTTTTTTCTTTTCATGGGGGACATGTCACTTCAGTCCACTGCCCCTTTGTTACTGGTGATATCTGAAACTTGTAAAAATGAGCCCCGCAAGTTCCAATCTATGACTTTGTGCATTTCATTTCTAGTGATGGAAATATATCTTTATGTAGCCGGGTGAACAGTGTGCGCCTTTAAGTTGTTCGGGTGACTTGACATGGTATGTTTTACCATGTGGCTTTCTTCCCTTTTGCGTGAGTGTTGGCACTTTAAGATTGCGACGCACTGGTTTGGCCACGATGCGGTACGTCCGTATGGCGTCGGGAGCCAGGAAGTAGCAGCCCCGTGGAGCGCGGAGACACGTTGGCTGGAAGACGGGCACGCCCCCCACGCCGAGGGCCGTACTGAGCAGCGGAGCGGCGTAAGTAACAAAGTGTGCCGGTGGATAGGACCATCCTGTGTTGTAAGCACTAGCTTACGCGAAGCTGTGTATTAATGCGAATGCTTTTGTTCGGTTAAGAGATAGGTGACTGCGCGGACTCCAGGTTTCGCGTTCCCTAGCACACAAGCTACGCGACGGAGTCCAATTGTGAGTTAACAGATTTCCTTTTTTTTAACAAAATGCTTTCTTTTGGAGTTCTTGTGAAATGGTTGTAAAAATGTTCTGTTGGTAGAACTGTATTACCAGGTAAATCACTGTATTTTCTGTTGGGGTAATCGTGTAAGAGAAGTTTTGTGAGATTACTGAGGGCGACACGTTTTAATGGGGCTGCAAAACCTGGGTTTGAGTGTATGGATTGCGTCTTTATTATAAAGTGTTGCCTTATTTTGTGTTGTATTTTATTTTCTTTATTAGGAACTGGCCACAACTGTTGTCTATAGTCCCTATAGCGTGTATTGTCTATGGGTTTTATATGGTGGCCCCTAGAGACAAAACACACGCAAAAGAAAAAGCAGAAACAAAATGAAAATGCGCAGCAAATTTAAAAAACACACACAAAAGAAAAAGCAGAAACAAAATGAAAATGCGCAGCAAATTAAAAAAACACACGCAAAAGAAAAAGCAGAAACAAAATGAAAATGCGCAGCAAATTAAAAAAACACACGCAAAAGAAAAAGCAGAAACAAAATGAA